TCGAATTTGTCTAAGTTATGGTTTTTCTCAAGATCATAGAATTTTCCTAACAAATTAGGCGATTCGCATATTAAGCACCGAAGATCGGTTCGCTTAGTTAGGCATACAAGCGAAAGAAGTGAACCAAAAAAGCATAGTACTGAAAAAAACATTTTTAATCGATGTTTTAGGCATTTTTTATGAATGGAGTGGTATGAAATCTTCAGACTACAACAGTAGGTAAATGTCTTCATTTCCTCTTGTAATAGACATATTTACACCCCAAATGATAAAATCTTTATTGATTAGGTAAATGCTGAACAACTTTATTCATATGTATCTAAGCTTTGCGAAAAAGGTTTAATAACCGTCATACCTGTCACATTCTGCAACTTCATCTGCTGAACTCTAACGAGACATTTCGCTGTCATTGCAAATAAGGGCGCATTTGCTTCTAATGCTATATAATTCACGGGATCTGTCATGTTCATACTGTTGTCTGAAGAAGAAATGGTACTATCATAAATAAATTTAATTTAACTAGAACACCTGTATTTCCTTGTCTATGGATAAAATCTCCTCTTCCACAAAAGATCAACACCGCAAAATATGGTTGATATAATCGTTGCAGTAAACCAAGCCCGGCACCATCTTGGTCAGCAACAATAATCAAGACCTTAAAAATTGATAATATCAAAAACTGACAATTAGAGGCCAGAACATTTAGTTTTACATTTTCTTGTATACTGTACGATTGCATTTCAAACCTCCACAGAAACTGCAGCTATAATTTTATAGTCGCAAATAGCTTTTTCTCTCCATTATTCCCTTTAGTTAAGGAAAAATGGTGACATAATATAAAAATGTCTATTTAATTCAAATAAAAGATTGAATGATAATTTGCGCTGCCGCCAAGCTCACGCAATGCACTAAATCAGCAAGCAGAAAGACAAAGCACTTCTCAAATAAAAAGTCGGGCTGAGACTGAGTATCAGACAAAGGCTTTGTAGTTTTGCCGCAAAGTCACCAAAACTGCTCAAACATCTTTTTTTTTTGAATAAATTCTAAGGCTATATATATCC